GATAGAATTTTCACCGATCTTCGGTAATAGAGGTGTCAAGTGGATTGCCTCCATAATGGCATTAATTTAGCTAACGGTAAATGAGAGGTAAGGAATGGTTCGGTACTGTTGCGACTTAGAGCTACCTATTTCCATAACATGGCAATCAGTGATCTAATCTCATTATAAGAGAGTTCGTTGGCATTTAAGAAAAGGTTGCAAGCGGCAATATGACGAGCCGGTGATTATCAAAACTATCTGACGCAAATGGACGGGGGAGACTGATGCGAATCAGTTTTCTGAATACCCCTGTGATTGAACTAAAGGAGTTCTCTCTCTCGCTCTCAACTTGGACCTTCACCCCGATTCAGCCAGTGCGTCAGATTCCAACACTGACTGGTTGACAGGCACAGATAGTCAATAGAGGGAATTCCGATGCAAGCAGAAATCTGAGCTCCAGGAAGTAGCGGAGAATAGGTAGATGCCTTTTTGCTAAAATCTGTAAACTTTTATATCATATCCGCCGCTTGCGTTCATATCGCACACCGCAAGCCCTAATCTTGAGATTTATAGATGCCTACATTCTCCCCCCTCATTCTTTACTGCCCTCCAGTTATTTTCCCAGCTTTACTTAAAAAAAACCTGATCATTCTTAAACGTATCCTCTGAATGCTCTCTTCAGTTGTCGGTGTTTCCTATGTTTTTTTGCTGACATTATAATACAGCGCCAATTTAAAACGGTCAAGCAATTTGCTGATAGAATCCTTAGTGAGGCTGCTCACCCTATCCCCTCTGAACTAATGGCTGCGAAGTCTTCCCGTGCAATGCGCCGAGGCTTCCGTCATATGTCTTGCCGTACATCGACATATCGGCACTCTGTACTCCCATTCCTAGCACGCTACTTCACGTGTGAAGAAGCGGAAACTGAGAAGTTGAAAGCTAACCTGCTTCCATAGTAGATGCGGATATCGTGTAAAACTTTAATTGAGTATTCTATAACCTTTTACCTTTGACCATTTATTATGACCCCTTACTTACCTTATCCCTTGCTCTCCGTGAACGGAGCCATTTTTTGCTGAAAGTTTAGGATGTTCCATTCTAAATAAAGCACTCCTCCCTCTAAAAAGATGCGATTGCTAGAATCAGAACTATATTAGTTTGACCCTTC